AGATAAATGGATATTTTTTCATCCAAATAAAGACAAATGAACAAGCTTTAAGATGATACCAATAACTCAACACGTCAAAAAATTGACGAGAGCCTGATTCCACCACGCTGCCTCACTATTACATTATCTGGGAAGAAAGTTATATCCTTGCCCAAACTACCCAGCCATATAATTAACACCTTTTTGTGTGTGTTTTACGGCACTAACAACTGCATAAGGTCATATGAGCGCGCATGACATACCTAATATTTTCAGTTGGTAGGAAACCTAGTGAATTTTGCACGGGTGGCGGTCGAGGCCTACTCTTATCGTTTTTGGACCACCAAAGGATCATAAGCGTGCGCAAATTGCACACGGGACCTCCGAGATTTTTCATCCTTGTCCGAGAAGGCTAAGTGTAGATCTTACCTACCATAAGATCAGGGGTGTTTCTGAAAAGACAGCAGTAAGAAGGAGCCGAGGAGAAGCAGTAGAAAGGCTGCAGAAAGAGTCAGGAGCCCAGAGGAGGGGGCAAAGGAGGTGAAGGGATGGGGGCAGAAAGTGGAGACGAAAGCAGACGTCAGAACATTGTTAGAGAGCAAGAAAGCATATGAAAGAAGAAAATTTAAGAGGGTGTATGTGTCGTTGTTTGGAAAGGTTTAAGACCCACAAAAAAAACTTGCACTGTGACACAACAAAGACCGTTTAGGAGATGGGCAACTTCGACCATACCCCCACCCCCTCCCAGGGCAGTGCTACTGACTGAAGTGTCTTTGGGCCATTCATAAGGGAGAGATATTAACATGTTCTTTTGTACAGAAGTCTCGTAAATAAACAAACGTACTTAATGAAGCAGACTGCCCCGAACTGGACAAAAAAGCCATATCACTTCACCATAGCCAGGGATCACAACTTCTTTTTTTCGTAAGAGTTTTACGCACATGCAAAACAATAAGGTCATATAAGTGCCGAAGAATAGACGTTTTACAAGAGAGTAACATACACAAAAAAGAAGGAGACATAAGGCCGATAGATGTTTGATAGGAAAGAAGGAGCAAACCACACCAGAGCACCCGCCAACCACCCACAGGGATCACAAAGACAGACACATTTCGCCAAGACCATCAAGAGTAATACACAAACATATCTTTAAAATCACCGAATAAAGCAATCTTCTTAATAGTATCTTTAAAAAAATAAATCTAATACAAATGTCTGTGTGATGTAATGCAGTCCTTGAGATATCTCAACTGTAGGTGGGAGGTGATAGTGGGAGAAGGGAGATGGGGGGGGGGGGGGAGGAGGAGGGAGAGGGAGGTGATGGGAGAGATGGCGGGAGGGGAGAGGCGGGATCCAGATAGGGCAGGTAGGGGAGGGAAGTAGGAAAGGAAAAGGGTTCCCCCCCAGTGATAGGGGGGGGGGGGGGGTTTTGGGGAGGAAAAGGGGGTGGGTTCCCCTTACCCCCCCCGGGGGGAAAACCCTCCTAGGGGGGGTTTGGTTTTAGAAGGGTTTTTAGGCCCTTAAAAAACAAAAAAGGGCTAAAAAGGGCGGAAATTT